CTGGGGTACCCCACTGCTCACATCTCGCCAGATTGAGTACAACCCATCCACCACTACTCTTTGGGTGCGCCCCATCAGCCAATTTTTGACCCATCTAACTGTGGAGGCATCAATGCCACAGTTGCTTAATTTATTGATGGGGATGGGGTGAGAGACAGTGTCAAAGTCCTTGAAGTCTAGAAAGACTGTGTCCATGGCGACACCATCATCCAAGGATTTAGTCACCTAGTCATAAAAGGCAACCAGGTTGGTCAGGCAGGACCTGCCTTTGATGAACCCATGCTGATTGCCCCGACCATGATCTCCCCTGCTGGCCCCCACATATGTGCTCCTTGATGATTCTCTCCAAGATCTTCCCGAGCACCGAGGTGAGGCTTACAGGCCTATAGTTACCTGGGTCCTCCCTCCTCCCTTTCTTGAAAACTGGGACCACATTAGTCAGTTTCCAATCCCCTGGCACCTGACCAGATGACCACATGCTCATACAGCCAGGCCAAGGGCTCCGCGATGACCCCTGCCAGCTCCGTCAACACCCTTGTGTGGAGGGCATCTGGACCTGCAGATTTAAAAATGTCTAGCCCTTCTAGAAGATCCCTAACTACATCTGCGCTGACTGAAGGCCTGACAAAGCTATCCCCAAGGTTGTCCCTACCTGTGTTAGGTGGGATGTCCTGGTCCCTATTCAAGAAAACAGAGGCAAAGAAACTGTTAACAATATCAGCTTTCTTGTCTGGCGTAGCCACAAGGTTACTGTTTGCATCTTGCAGGGGCCCTACATTGCCTGGTGCCCTCTTCTTCCTCCCAGTGTACTTGAAAAAGGACTTTTTGTTGTCCTTAATCCTGAATGCTAGCCTGAGTTCCATCTTTGCCTTGGCCTTCCTAATAGCCCTCCTACCTTCATGGGCCAAGGAAGAGTACTCCTCCTTGGTGATAGTCCCTCCCTTCCACTGGTTGTATGCCCCCGCTTTTAGTCCTCAGGCATTGCTGAATGCCCTTGCTGAGCCAAGGGGGTTTCTGAGCACTCTTACCCCCCCTCACTTCTCTCAGAGACTGTTATCTTTTGGGCCTGGAGGATCGCCCCCTTAAGGTACGACCATCCCTCATGGACTCCCATCTCCTCTACCTTCTGGGCCCTCAGTGCCTCCCCCACTAGTCTCCTTAGCTCATTGAAGTTGGCCCTTCTGAAGTCAAGGGCATTAGCCTGGTGTAAGCCCTTGACACCCTGTGTCGGATAGTGAAATCCAGCAGATGATGACTGCTGTTGCCCAGGTGGTCAAGGACCTGCAGTCCCCTCACCGGGTCATCCCCCGTAGCCAGGACCAGGTCCAGCAAGGCGTTACCCCTAGTGGGGCTGTGCACTTCCTGGATACACTGAAGGTCCTGTAATACAGCTAGGAACCTGTGCGAGCGGTCAGACTTGGCTGTCTGCCCCTCCCAGCGAATGTCTGGGTAATTCAGGTCACCCATGACAATAACATCTCTTGACTTAACTGCCTCCATAAGCTGACTGGAGAAGTCCTGGTCCAGCTGTTCCCCCTGGCTGGGTGGTCTGTAGTAGACACCCACTGTAAAGTCCCTTTCACCATGCCCCCCCTTATAGTTTGACCCATAGTGTCTGCCTGGCCCTCCTCTACCCTGAAGCTAATCCTTGATGATGTAAGGTGCTCTTTGACATAGAACGCAACCTCCCCCCTGTCCTGTCTCTTCTATATAGGGTGTATCCCTGAATGCCTGCTGCCCAGTCATAGGTAGGGTCCCACCAGGTTTTTGTGAGCCCTACTAAGTCTGGGTTCTTACTCACAATCAGGAGGCACAGTTCCTCCTGTTTACTCCCCATACTATGAGCATTAGTGTAGAGGAACTTGAGGCCTCCTGAGGGTGCTCGTGCCTCCCTCCCACTCGCAGGACAGTTGTGGCCCCCTGCTCCCAGGACTCCTGAGGGTGCTCGTGCCTCCCTCCCACTCGCAGGACAGTTGTGGCCCCCTACTTCCAGGACGTTGATGCTTACCTGGGCTTCCCTTCCTCTTGTCACCCTGTGTGCCGGTGAAGTATCCTCTCTACTCGAAGTGGCCCCTTCCCCCTGGCGAAGCTAGTTTAAAGCTCGCCGTATGAGATTGGCCAACCTAGAGGAAAAGATACGTCTGCTCTTAGGGGAGAGGTGAAGCCCATCCCACCCCAGCATGCCTTCCATACAAAAACATGGGTCGTTGTCAGAAAACCTGAAGCCTGCCTTGTGGCACCAGCTCCGAAGCCACTGGTTAACCATGTCAATGCAGGCCTCGTGACGCCTACCCCGTCCACTTACCGGGAGAATGGAGGAAAATACCACCTGGGCTCCTGTCTTCTTCAGTTGGTGTCCCAAAGCCCTGTAGTCCTCCATGATGTTATCCAGCTTGCCCTTGGATGCAACATTTATACCCACATGGACCACAATCAGTGGGTAGTAGTCAGAGGGCTGGATGATTTTAGGGATGGTCTCTGTGATGTTGCGAATCGTCGCTCCAGGCATGCAGTAGACCTGCTGTGACCAGGGCTCTGAGCGACAGATTGAACCATCAGTTCCTATCAGGATGGAGTCCCTGATGACCAGAACTTTGTCTCCTTCTTGGGGTGTGCCTCTTCTGAGCCAGTGATGTAGATCGAGCTTCAGTTTCTCTAGGGACTTGTTCTTCTGCCTCCTCCAGTGGGGCCAGGGCCACGTACGTGTTCCCAAGGGGTGTCTGGGGAGCAGGCACAGCAGTTGTACGAGCTGCCCTGGCCTTGACAGGAACCTGCTGCCATCGATTAGTTGGGCATTGTGCATGCGGGGTCTCTCTGGTGGATTCCTCTCCCTGCAGAGTGGAAATACATATCAATTTCATCCTCCACTGCCTGAATCCCCCGCAACATGTTCACCTCAGCCTGGAGCTCTGCCACCTGTCCTTCCAGAGCCTGAAGACGCTCACAGGAGGGGCAGGCGGGGGAGTCACAAGACCTCAGTCCCACACCAGGGGGGGAAGATGGTGGCCAGGCCCCCCAAGGGCTCCATCTGGGTGGAAGCCTCAGAGGAGCCCCAGAAGGACGGCACCACTGAGGCAGGCCCCTGGCAGCACTACGAGTCCTTGCCATGGCTCGCAGATAGTCCTTACCTCGCTCCTTGTTGGTAGAGCCTCCTCCCTCCTGAGGAAGACTCTCTTGCTGCCCTGCCTGCTTCTGCCTGCACGAACGCCAGCGCAAACGCAGGCGTGCCTTTACAGAGTGAGCCTGTTTGCGCACTCTGTTCATGTGAGGGTTGGGAGTGCGACTTCCTGCCTGACTTGGCAAAGAGGAATCCAGGGGGCTTCCCCTCCGGATCCTCTGCAGCTGCACAGGCTCCTGCACGCTTACCTTCGGGGGGTTAGCTGCTGCTGCTACCGCCTCAGGTACATATTTGGAGGCTTGGCATATCCTGGATATTTGAAGTTAGACTTTCTGCTAGGCCATACCCTCTTGCTGTAGCACCCTCATCCCTGCTCCCATCTGGGAACAGGTAAGACAGGTGTCCCCAGGGAGCATGATGACAACAGGTTCCACTTCTGCTCTCAGCAGGGGTTGTTGGCTCTGAGAAGTGCCTGAGGGCCTTGCTACTTGTTAATTGTAGGTAGCTCCTGGAGCTCTTAACCCCTGCATTGTCCACACATTAACATGTGAAACTAGTTTTAAGCACCCTTTAAGCAGCACAGGTTAAAATGTACCACCTCAGCCTAGATTGAGCTCTGATCCATCTTACCCAGATCACATTATGCTAATGTGTAGCCACTGTAGGCTACCGCTTATTGTGAACACCCTCCCACCCCCGGT